CTGCTTTGTCACAATTAAATAATGAAGGTGATGAAGAAGTCATAACATTTATATCTAGAACTCTAAAAGGAGCAGAATTAAATTATTTTACTACTGAAAAAGAATTATTAGCTGTAGCTTGGTCATGTTTGAAATTAGAAACGTATCTAAGAGGTGCGAAAGAAATAATTATTCGTACTAATCACGAAGCGTTGAAATTCTTAACAACTTGTAAATTTACAAATGCGAGATTAGTGAGGTGGTGCTTGTTTCTTCAAGACTACAACATTACGTATGAGTATTTACCAGGAAATAAGAATAAAGCCGCCGATTTTCTATCTAGACATATCACAGACTGCAGTAATAATTATACAGATGAAATTGAACTTGCTATGTTGATGAAAGAACTTTCACGAAATTTAATGAAATACTTCAAGAATATGGAGTCATTACAACAAAATGATGGTTCTATACAAAATTTAAGAAATAAAGAAAATTTCAATCATAGATATATAGTTTATAACAATTTAGTATATAAAAAAGATAAAATTAACAATAAATTATTATTACCAGAAATAATTATTCAAGAATTGGTCCAAGAAATACATGAAATATATGGTCATATTGGATCTAGAAAAATTACGAAAATTTTACAAGAAAATTTTTATATTTACAAGCTTCGCAAAAAAGTAGCTAAAACTATAAATCGCTGCGATCTCTGTCAACGTACAAAATATTATACGAAGAAGATATCATCCATAATGCAGCCTATATTAGTTGAAAAACCAAATGATCTATTGTCTATAGATTTTTATGGACCATTGCCAACTTCACGAGGAGGGGTTAAATACATTTAAACCACAATAGATTGCTTTAGTAAATTTGTAGTTATGTATCCTATAAAAAGATCAACTACATATACTACTATTAAAAAGATATTTGAACATTATATACCAAATTATGGTAAACCATCAGCAATCATATGTGATCATGGAACACAGTTCACAGCTAAAGCATGGAAAGAAAAGCTTTTAGCTAATAATATAAAATTAGTATTTTCTAGTATTCGACATCCGCAAAGCAATATTGTAGAAAGAATACATAGAGAACTGGGAAGATTTTTAAGAGCATATGCTAACGACAATCATAAAGGTTGGGCTCCATTAATTCCCAAAATACAACAAATAATGAATTGTGTATATCATGAAACAATTGAAACAACTCCTATAGAAGCTCATCTACATATAAGACCAGATAGATTTTGGCATCGGTGGATACCTGACACCAAAACAAAGGTACCTACAAATTATAATCAAGATATCAAGAAAAAAATGCACAATAAACTTATAAAACGTGCAAACAATTTCAATAAAAATATACATCATTATCAATATAAAGTTAATGATTATGTATTATTACGGAGTCAAAATATAAGTAATAAAGAAGAAGAAATTATTAAAAAATTCTTAAACTTATACGAAGGCCCGTATATAATTAAATCCATAATCGGTTTAGATACATACTTATTGAAATATAAAAATGGTAAAGATAGAGGTGTATTTCATACTTCTCTACTAAAACCGTACCAAATTTAGCCACCAGGGGATATATTCTCTCTCCAATCAAATTTGCATATTGAACTGATATATGTAAACACTGGAAAGAGTACACTATCGATCTGGAAAGATGTCTGGAAAGAGTGAAAGCACTCAGACCAATAGGTCTGATCTAAAACACTACATTCCAGCACCATTAGCCAGATCTTTTGTGCCATCTCAAAATATGGTGCCTTGGTCTATGTGCAAAAGCACACAGACACCATCCAAGCCTGCTTAGGTGGCAAAGGCGAAAAATAAAGATCAATTTAGGAACCAGTCTACAATTACGTTCCTGCCTTCAAACGTACCACGTCCTTCTGCTCCTGTGCCCTCTGCAGCTTTACCAACAACATCAAGAAAGCAAAAGCGCAGGATCCAGAAGAAAATCAAGAAACTGGCTGCAAGAATCACTAAGACCAAGGAAAAAATTGAGGAAATAAGAAAGAAAATGAAAACTACAAAACCAGAGCGACCTCAAACACCGGGAAATTTTTTGTAATTGTAATAATAAAGAAATAAAGAAAAAATATATAAAAAAACAAACTAAAATATCAATAAAAAGCTCATAAGGAACTCATTCATGAGACTTCTTATCAGAAATTATTCAGTCTCAAGAGGGGGCTATGTAACGGTCCTATTTATGAGCTGTTTATTAAATGACTGCAACTAGTCTAACGTATTTATCTGTTTAGTCAAAATAATACATTAAGCGGCGCTACCTCACTGTTTACGCGACTGTATACATATAAGAGTCGAGTCAAAACAAACAGCATGACGTCACAAATAATAGACATAGATATAATGATCCATAATGTTGAGAAAAATATGTTAATTATAGATAATTTGAATATAACAAAGTATCGATTATATAGATTTTAACATGCAGATTCACAATATCTCATTCAATTATAAATTAATAATGAATATCAATATGTAAAGTTAATTTATTTATTAACATATGAAATATTAGAAAAATATAAATAATTTATATGTAAAATGAATAAGCATAGAACATGAGTAAGAATTGGTTTCATTAATAACAGCTAAATAACAACTGTTATTAGTAAATAAACAATTAATAATTTATTTAAACAATAAGCTATATATAAAACGAAAATATTAAGTTAATACTTGATAATGATAATTTTATGATTTAGAAATCTTAGATAACTAATGTAATAATCGCATATTAAGATTAAAAGAAAACCGTTACAAATATGAAAAATTAGTCATAATTCAAATGTTATTAATTAATTTAAATAATTAATTTTGGAAAATACTTCCAAAATTAATCAACTATAAAGTTATATGAAATTTTAAAAATTTTCTATTGTAAATAATGTAATATCACGTTAATTAACTTTATTAGTTAATAACTTTTGACGACACTATTGGCGATAATTGTATATTGTATAAAATCAACAAATAACTAATTCTGTAAAATTTACATGTGTTAAAAACTTAATATTAATGGTTATTTACTTGTAAATTAAGAAAAATCATTTCTCAAAATTCGCGAATGTCTCTCGAATTTTCGATGAAATCTCTCCTGCAATAATAAGCGGGAAAATCTATATATAAATAGGCCCACCTTTGCACAGGCTAGATTCATTCACTTCTAGCCTTGCAAGGTGAGCGCATGAGTCTGAATAAACTTGGATTAATACCTAAGTTCTTTCTCTCATTGTGATTAACTAAGCAAGACTAACCTTTCCTTATAATTTGAGCTCGACTTATAGAACATCTCGCGCTATAAGAAACTTGGGCCGAATTATATCCTATCAAAGAAAGACTTTAGTTCTGCTTATGGGACTATTCGCACCATAAGAAACTAGGGCATTGTCTGACTTTCCTCGATATATTGCAATTACTTATGTATATTTGATTTACTTATTTGTTATATTTGATTCATTATCTATTCTCTTGACAATTAGAGTAAAATCATCGGAAACAAATTTTTACTCATTAGCTAGTTTACGAGAGTTTGAATTATTTTATTTATAAGTGATACGAATATCTCATCCTGAAAATATAAAAAGCAACAATTTTAGTTAAATGATAAAAGTTTATAGTATAATTTAGTAAATTATAATATATAATACAAGCTGCTCATCAGTCAAAATTAAAGTAATATAAGTTACTTACCTTTCATACAGTTCTGTTTACATATCTATATTATCCAATATTCATATGTGTTTGAAGATCGTACGACTTACCTGTAAGGAAGTGCGATCGTAATTACACGAAAGCTTCGCTCGAAGAGATTATATCTGATACATGTAGTACTACCTTCTCTGTTTATCCCCGGACACGCTATTATCGGCTAATATTGCTCCAACCACAGAGGGCGCTCCCTCCTTTCCTCGCATCGTGCTTTGCACATGCTTCTCATTATTTTAGAGTTTAAGTAGAATTTTGTCATTCCCTTAGGGAGGGGTTGTTCAGTATATATAGTTTTTGTTATATTGGGTGGGATATAATCTCTTCGAGCGAAGCTTTCGTGTAATTACGATCGCACTTCCTTACAGGTAAGTCGTACGATCTTCAATTACACGTCAAGCTTCGCTCTCGAGATTATATCTGATACATGTACTTCTTTAGAGTTATGACAAAATTCCATAGTTATATTTCGTAAGAAAAAGGAGATCTTTATTGAAGCGTTATCAATTACAAGTTTGATTACAATTGTTTCTTAACTTAATGTTTGTAATAATATTATCATATATCTTATTTTGATCATTTTTTGTTTCTTTTCGACATTATAGTATTTGTGAACTGACTATCAGCATCTACAATTGGTCTGTTATAAAATGTCATAAAAACCTTTGAATTTTTTGACCATCCTGCGTGTTTTTTTATTTCGTCAACACTCAACCCTCTTTCGAATCCCGCTGAAGTTGAAGCGTGTCTCGTTGAATGAGCTTTAAACTTCTGTGTGTCTATTCCAGCTTTTTTCATAAAGTTCTTAATCCAACGTGCTAATGTTTGTGTTCCTATTTTTTTAAAAGGTTTTTTATAAGATATAAATAAATAATCGCTACTTCTAATAGACTTTGTGTGATTTAAGTATTCATTTACTGCATTATATACACACAATTTTGGTCTCTTATTGTATTTGGGAATGATTATTGGAGATAACTTGAACCCCGGTCTAGAGGTTTTAGTAGGTTCTGTAAAGGATATTTCTAATTTATTCTCATGAAATTTAATGTCTCTTGTTTTTATTTGAGTTAATGATTGTGCCCGTTGTGCTGATACTAAGGCTAATAAAATTGCCAGTTTTTGTGAAAGATCTTTCAATTCTGGTTTCAGTTTTTCATTTATTTTTTCTATATAATCAAAAATTATATCTACATCCCAAGTGCACTCCTACCTAGGCAAAGTTGGACGTAATTTAAAACAGCCTTTTAAAAATCTACATACTAACTTATCTTCTCCTATGTTATTTAATGATATCAAAGAAATAGCGCTTCTATCTGTATTTAAGTTACTATATGAACAACCTTCGTTATATCTTTTTGTTAAGAAGGCAATTATTTGGCTTGATTTTGGCATATTTAGATCAACTTTTTCTTTTTCACAGAATTGTAACCATTTCCTTAACGATACTCTATAATGCTTCTGTGTGGATTTACTGAGTGATGAAAGCATTGTGTCTAAGGATTCCTCTGGTACGTCTTTTTTTGTTAACGCTTCCCTGATACAATCGCTGCCATTAGAATTAACTTCTTTATCTTCGGACGGGATTTTTTCCTACATAATGAATTGAAAATTGTTAATTTTGGTCTGAATTCAATGGGTTTAACAATTGTAAGACTTAGAAACAAAGGAAACCATGGTTGATTTATCCATTTAGGTACCACCATAATACCCTCTGCTTGTTCAGTTCTTATTTTGTCTAGCGTACGAGAAATTAAAATGAATGGCGGAAATGCATAGAAATATATATTTTTCCATGTTACTGTAAACGCATCTATTTGCCAAGCTTTTGTATCTGGAAAACGTGAAATATATGTGTTGCATTTAAAGTTCTTATTAAAAGCAAATAAATCTATAGATGGGTTTCCAAATTTTTTTGTTATAATATTGAACTCTTTTTCATTCAATTCCCATTCTGTATCGGGATTCTTAACGCGTGATAATCTATCAGCTTCTGCATTTTCTCTGGACGGAATATAGGAAGCAATTAAATGAATGTTTCTTATTTCTGCCCATTGCCATATTTTTCTAGCTAATAAATTATAACGTTGAAACCTTACACCGCCCATTCGATTTATGTATGCAATAGCTGTAGTATTATCTATGCGTAATAAAATGGAACAATTTTCTATTTTATCTGCTATTGTATTTAAGGCTAGTTTCACTGTAAGTAATTCTTTATAGTTAATGTGGTATTCGATTTCTGTATCATTCCAAAAACCAAAAATGTCAGTGGTGTTGTCTGTCGCGCCCCAGCCATTATCTGAGGCATCTGTGTAGATAACCTTTTTTATTTTCCTTTGTTTAAAACATTTTTGTGCATTTGGTAATGTTTTTATCCACCACTCTATGTCTCGAAGGACGTCTTTTGAAATTGTCATATGTCCTAAATATGAACCTCGTGATTTATTTAATGCTCTGAGTTTATCTCTCTCCATAAGCTTTGTGTAAAGCCACCCGTATTCCACAGCTATGCAAGCCGCTACCAATTTGCCTAACATTTTTGCAAATTCTAGAATTCTACAAGCGCTTAATTTCTTAAATCGTTGTAAGATTTTCAATATATTCTCTTTCTTTTTATTAGTTAATTCTATAACGCAGTCTTCTGATTTTACTAAGACACCTAAGTATGTGCAAACCTTGCTAGGTATAAGATTGCTTTTCTTATAATTCATAACACATCCTAATCTTTCTAATAGACTTATTGTGTTTAAAACGTTATTTTCACATTCTTTGTATTTCTTTCCAATACATAACCAATCATCTAAATATACGTTTGACACAAACCCGGCTGTTCTTAGTTTCTGACTTACTGGTTTGACAATTTTTGTGAATATATATGGGCAGGTACTCAAACCAAATGGTAGGCACTTGAAGCGGTATAATTTTCCTTGAAATTTAAACATTAGGAATTTTTGACTCTTATAATGAATGGGAACGAGAAAATACGCGTCTTGCATATCTATAGATGCCATAAAATCACCTTTTGCAACTGTTTTGATCACTGTTTTCAAATCTTCGAGTTTGAAGTGAATTGTTTTTATAAATTTGTTCAATTTTTTTAAATTTAAAATGAATCTGTATGCACCATTTGGTTTGCGTGCAAGAAAATATGAAGATAAAAATTGATTTTTATAACTTTTTGATAATACAATTGCCCCTTTCTTTTCCAATTCATCAATAGCTTGTTTTGTTCTATTTATTACATTGGGGTCTTTAATACTTCTGTTTTCAAAATATTTTTGCTTTGGCATTTTCCACAATGGTATTTCATAACCTTCTATGCACTTCAGTATGAATTTACTATTCGTTATTTCTGACCATTCATTATAATACATTTTTAGTCTACCACCTATTTTGAGACTTACATTTAATTCTTGTTGTGGTAAGATTTGTTTCTCGACCTGTTGTTGTTGTTGTACCTGTTCTGGTTTATGCCTCGGTTGGAGTTTCTCCCTCTGGAGCCTCTGAAGAACAATCTTGGTCGGCCCTGTGTTGGTGCACCTGAATTGCCCTCTATACTCGCAAATGGTTTTCTTTCGAGAGGGCTCTTGGCGTTTCCCGTTGACTTTTGTACTTTATTTTCAAGTAAAACCTCTGCCTCTTTCATCTGTTTGAGTACATTTGTTAATTCATTTCCAAACAGGGACTGGTCTGGTGTTGTAGATTTCAGTACCTCTCTTATGTTTTTCTGAAAAAGAGGTATTATGCAGGCTCTCCGAGACTCAGTTTGTTGAAATTGTGCGTGTGATAACAACTTTGCTGCATCTGTGAGTCTTTCTACAAAACTGATTGGATCAACTCCTTCATCTTCATTTGCATCGTTTACCATGCTAATTGCAGCGCTGATGGCTGTGAGTGCTAAGCTGATCACTTTTTGAGATTCAATTCTGTATGTGTCCTTTTTAACTGACTTCTCACTAATTTTAGCAATAATTTGTTCATTAAGTTTTGGTGCCTGGAGAGCTTCTGGTGATGCGTATTTTGATAACAACTTTTCTTTCTCATCTTGTGGTAAGCCTTTAGCCATATAGAATTTCCAACTTTCGAGTAATTCTGTATAAATTGGTAAATCCAAAGCTTTAGATGCGTTGGGATTGCCAAGGATTGCTTTGATATCACTCCTCAAGTTTTTTCTTCTGAATTCAAATTTTCTTTATTTGGCCTAAAATTTAATATTTTGTTATTACTTTCTATGTTTTATTTACGACGTGCCAATAAAATAATTTCGCGACCAGAATTTCGCCTCATTCTGGGCTTAGTTTGTTATTGGTACGTGTACTATGACGACCTTTCCGGCGTGACGCCTTTGGTTAGGTGTCTGTATCTCTCAACGTAGCGCGAAGCCTTTGTTTCAAGTTCTCTATTCTGTTGTTTAATGGCGCGAGGCCGAACGAAATGAATTTATCGTTCACGAGCCGTATTTCACATTCTTATTTTTACCTTCGTTTACTTCTTCCTGATCATCTTCCTTATTCTCCTCCTCACTAATTTTGATTTCATCATTATCGTCAGTTGAACTTTCGTGTGAATTTTCCTCTTCCTCCTCGGACGATAGATTATTCACCTTTCTTTTTAGTTCTTTCAATTTCTCTGCTAATTCTTTCTTTTTCTTTTCAAGGTAATCTATATCTAATTTGACTCTCTTTTTCGACATGTTTGCCTACTGAAATATTGTTTAAAACAAACAAAAGGATAGAATTTTCTATCTCGCGTGTTAAAACACGTCTATGCCCGGTGACAAACGGAAAAATAATGAGAGGCATGTGCAAAGCACGATACGAGGAAAGGAGGGAGCGCCCTCTGTGGTTGGAGCAATATTAGCCGATAATAGCGTGTCCGGGGATAAACAGGGAAGGTAGTACTACATGTATCAGATATAATCTCGACAGCGAAGCTTGACGTGTAATTTGTAGTCTGCAAGCAAATCACATGGACCACCAGACCAACAGCTGTCATCCATCTGATACTGTCTGGTAGTCATATGGCTGCAAACTAACAACAAGAGAATGATTTTTACTGTTAGCAAACTTTAGCTGGCATTGAATAAAAATCATTCTAAGCTAGTTTTTAATACTATTTCAATCTATATTATAAATAAATTGATTATATTATTAAAAATAATTTGATTGAAGCATATTGAAATAGTATTTAAAATGGAAATGAATTTTGAGGCTTGTGTGCAAGTGAGTTTATTGTTGTGTGTAGTGTAAATATTATTACTTATTCAATGGGCTCCAACAGTATAGGAATCATCTTCCACTAACAGTCTCAATCTTTTTACAGCTTATGATGCTTCTTTGGTTCTGTCTTGTGCTCGTCTATATGCAAACAAGAGTCTTTGGTCGTTGCTGGAATTGACCCACTTAAATGCTGCTTTGCCAGGCTGGACATAGAATATTTCCATTATTTTCAGGAATCCAATTCTCCCATCGTTGAACATGGTAACACTATATCAAATCCAATTTAATTTTGAATACAGTTGGTCCACTAAATGAAGTTTTTAGTACGAGTTTCCAAATACAGTTTTTGAAGCTCTCATTGTTGTTTTTGGTATATCCTTCCAAACATTTTTCCAATAAATCTGTGGCTGGTAAATCTTCATAAATTGGTTTGATAGCATCCATAACAGCATTTTGATGTCCATTTTTATGTTTATAGCTGTTTTCCTTTCCTTGAACTTTTACTTTTTGATACTCGCATCAACTGTTTTCTCCTTTTGGGCCATCTTGATGTTGTAGATTGTTGTCCGTAAAACTCTTGTGATAAAATGTTGCAAAGATGGAATTCCTCATTTCTTGAACCGATGCACAACAGTTGGCTCGAATGGCATTTCCACAGTAGATAGTGAGTTGATCAATCACTTTTCCTGTTAATCGACTTTTACCACCAATAGTTTTTCCATCCGATAACCTGTTTTTTCACAATTCTTCTTCAAATTTCTGAGCCGAGTACCCATTGTCTTCTGGACATGACCAACACACTCTTTCTTGCTAATTATCAGATCATCTTCATACGGCTGCTTATTTTGAATAGCTTGAAACTTTACTATCTCCATCTCGAATTTATTCAATTTTTATATTTTTCTTGTACAATTCTTCAATTATTTCTAAAATACCATCAACTTCGTCTTTTCCTGAGTTATTTAATTGATTGGCTTGGCATTGGACTTGGTGCTCTTCGTACCACTCTCCATATTCTGCTGTATCTTGCTAATTTTTCCACTCCTTACTACCTCTACAATAGATGTTCTTGACATATCTTCCTATAACGTTGTTGCTGTCTACTTCAATCAAGCTGGATACTCCTTGAAACGAAGAGAATCCTCTCTTACACCAAGTCCCATCACCTGAAGCACTGAGTCCTTTTCTTCCTTCAGATAAAGCTGCTACTTCCTTTTGAATGGCAATATTCATGGATTGTTCAGCTACTTCATGGCATGCTTATGACAACTGAATATTTATATCATCGTGGGCATTATGAGTTACTGATTTGGGTAAGTCCATAATACCACAAAATGTCTCTGAACCAGCTTGTCCATGACCAAGTGCCCGCATACACAATACTAATCTCCTATTGACTTCATATTCATTTTTTATTTTTCCAACTTTTTCACATGCATCGATAGAATCTTTTTTGCCACACTCAATAAAAGTAATAACTATTTGAAAACCGAGCCCTTGAAAGTCTTTTTCTGAAACTTTTATTTCTCTATAGCACGCATTACAACACAAAATATTTTCAAGAGCTGGAAAAGCAATATTGGCATCTATAATTCTGAATTTTGGATCTGAAACATCTATTTTCAGTTCATCAGGTATCTTCTTTGCAGAACTACTTTTGAATTTTTTAGCAAGCGCAGCATCATCACTTGTTTTTGTTTGAAAAACTTTAGGTCTTTTCTTGGCTCTTCCAAATCTTATTTTCTTGTCTAAACAACCAGAAACTCGTTATCGATCATCTACTACACTATTTTTTATCATAATTGCTTTATCTTGTAATAAAACTTCACTTATAATAACATACACTTAGAAAAAATTCAGTTCCGTAAGATTTAAAAAAAATTCAAATAATATTTTTTCTCAAATTTAGACAATCGTAAATAAATTAATAAATAATATAATGAACGTGCGACTTTACACGATATTTTGCAATGAAAATTGCAAATTTAATTATTATTACACACACGAATACGTTTTTAAATACATTACGCACAGCTTTCAACAAAGCAACTGGTCATAATGACATAATACTGACAGAAAGTCATTTTTGTAAAATGTGACACGTAATATACGAGTATTTTATTTATTTTGCCTTAAATAAAATTCATTATTGTACGCTTTAATGATTTAATATATTAAAAAAAATTAATTTATAACAACAAAATGGAAAAGTCGAAAACTCATGAGAAAAGTTTTTTTGCAATATTGCGTACAACTTTTTTGGGAAGACATATTTTTGAAATCGAACGGTGGCATCGTTATCCGGGTTAAATTTCCTATAAGAATAGTAAAAAGATGGTGTTTTGCCCTTAAACACTGGCTAGCCCCCTTAATAATAATTTCAATTTTTCACAAATATCTCGTCAAGGGTTATGAATATCCAAAAAAAGTTTCGTACAAAACTTATAAAGCGGAAAATTCTATATCAAATTGCATCGTCATTTATCGATTTTCTTGTAAATCTCCAATGATTTTTCCGAATACAACGTAATATTACAATTGTATTTTGTTTTATTGATATAAGTGAACAGTCATCTGACTCTACACATAGACCTATTGTATCTCGAAATTTAGCTGCTTGGCTTGCATCAGTCATGTTTACAAATATCATATATCAGCTTTATAAGTAATAGCTTACACAATCTTGTAGTAATAGTAGATTCATTTTGATTGGTTTGTCTTGCTATTTAAAGTGTTACATATATACGATACATACATATATGGATAATTCCAGAACTTTCTTAACATTTTTTGCGCGGAGAGGTTCGCTAATCTTATCGGCGATATTTTCTAGGGTAGAGCATGCAAAAAGAAGCTTTTTGGCTATCTCAGAATTTTTTCAAATATATATATATCTATATATAATTTTTTAATGGTCGAAAAAATGACCATTTTTGGAGTGTACTTAAAAAAATCTTAACTCAGTGAGTTTTCAATATTTTTTTACGTGCGACATCTCATTCAATTTGTTATTTTGTGCAATTTTGAGAAAAATATAGTTTGTATCTAAAATCTTAAAGTTCTCTAAGTAGACGATAACTTAAATATTCCTCATGAAGTTCGATTTTTAGGTAATGTTTCAAGATCCATAACTTTGCGAATATTCAATATGTTTGATGGAATTGGCTACATTAGTTTTGTCTGTTGAAGCCTTTTACTTTTCTTTGTCTCACGATAGGTTTTATGTATTAAAACCGGAACGAAATGGAATTGAAATTGCCGATTTTTCTAAACGGCTCATTTTCAAGGTGGATAAAAAAAACCTTATCAATTTTTTTCAGATTTATATTTTTTTCCGATAATCTATACCGAGCAGAAATATTACTTAAAATTTTGTGTTAGGTTATGCGATAATTGATGAAAAAAATATTTTCAAAAAGTTAAAATTTTCAATTTTTGAAAAAGTCGCTTATTTCAATTTCGTCTGGTTCCAGTTCCGATGCATGAAATTAGACGTGCGAGAAATGAAATTAAAAGTCTTGGCAAGACAATAGAAATGCTATAAATCCGGATAAAAAATATTATGAATTAACAAAGTTATGTGCCATTAAAACGATCAAAAAATCAACTCCCACGAGGCGTAGTTAATGTAATGTTTAATGTTCAACATCGTGATTTTGAACCATTTTGACTATTTTTTTCTAAAGAACAGATGTTCACTAAACTAAGGAGTCGTTGTATGATGAAAAATATTAAATATTCGCCGAGTTACGATGTCGAAATATAATCAGAATTATTTACTACTATCGAGGGTGTACGTAACATATAAATCTGCCACAGTATCTCATGCAAATATTTTTTTGTTTACGTCCATTAATATAAATGAATGATTATTATCTTTACACATCATATCAATTTCTTGTAGGTAGCTTTTCAGCGTGTAGATGCTTACTCGGTACCTCTCTTGCAATTTTAATTAATGTCGCTAGGTGTCATTACAAGTCTTGAACGTGTGTTGAAGAAAAGTCAAGGTTTTCTTCTACAATAACTGAGACTCTGATCCGATTAGCTAATAATAGCTCCATAATCCTGCTTGTGAATGATAATAAGTAAACATTGAATTGATCTTCAGCACTGATTTATGGATGCGCTATTTAATAGTATAATTTTGTCTTATTTGTTTGTTAATCCACTTTTACCTTATACTGGCTACTGATGACTAGGTGAATGATGATGGATACTAAAAATACAAACTTCTGAAATTGTATTTAGTATTACTTGTTGTTTATAAAAATCTTGATTGTTTTCTTGTCCCGGAATTACTTTTTTACAACTTGTATGAGACAGGTAGGCACATAAAATGTCGTTGCCAACGCCGCTAAAATATCCGGCTACCTTAAAGAATAGAAAGCGTTTTGTACGTCCAACGTTGCCAAGAATACCGGTGGTCTGACTTCATTGCATGCATCATTTGTCTTTTCTACTATCTGCAGTA